GGTGTGGAAAATACAGAACAGGGGTGTTACTGATGTGGCAATTATAAAGAAATCTTTTTTTAATTAAACCATTTAATCTTAATAGTAATTCTATGTATGGTACTATTAGTAGTATGATTACAATATAAAGAAACTGAGACAGAAAAGTTAATTAAGTAGTTTTAGTGCCATAGCCAGTAAATGGAAGAACAGGGATTCTGTAAAGAACTCTTGATGGAAATAAAGTATCCTAATTAATGTATCACATTCAAAACAAGTATTTGAAAAGTGCTTAAAGTGACTACTTAATTGAAAGTCTACCCTTTTCACTGCAAGTAATTTCTTAGAAATGATTTAATAACTGGATGATTATAGCAGGACACTGTAGATCTTCAGCCCAAAAACTTTAAGTACTGAGGTTGTCTCTGATGAAACTACCAGGACTAAAAAGGGGAGTATTTCTTCAGTATTAATTAGGTATTCTAGTCTGCGGTTTTAAGTATCATTTCATACAAACATATATATGTATTAGTTTATATATATTAGTTTATATATAACTAATATATATTAGTTATATATATTAATATATTAATATATATCATTTCATACAAACTAATATATATATGTGTGTGTGTGTATATATATATATATATAAATACTATTGGCCATATTTTAAAAATCCACTGATACCTGGGTAAGGCTGGCCTGGATAGCAGCATGAAGAGGAAGTAACTCTTTGATTTTCTCATGTTTCTCTCAGGCAACTCATCTTAGGCATTCACGATGCTTTCTGGCCACTCAGCACGACCATGCGGGCTGACTGCAGTTCTCCTTGGAGTCCATATCCCTCTTCTCCCCCACCCTCATTAACACTCCCAGCCCCCTTGTGCTCAGAGTTCAGCTGCTTGTTAGGTTGAGTTCAGATGATGCATTCATAATGCCTTGTCACGCAAATTGGGACTCTACGACGTTTGCATACTGAGAGCAGAATGTTCCTCTGCAGGAATGAATCTTTCATGGCAGCACGTCAGTATCTTTGAATGGGGACCTTTCAAGACTGCTCAAGTGATCCTGTTTAGGAATCTGCCTCCAGCATCTTCCCTTGTTTGAGCTGAGGCTCTTGCCCTTAACACGGTGGCATTTGCCTTTGATGTGTTGACATCAGAATGGACGGGTGTCTCATGACGGCCCAGGTGCTGGGCACCTGCTATTAACTCCTTTCTTCTCCAAGGAAGAGAAAGGTCAGACTGCCAGGACCACCAGTGTCACAGAGCTGGTTTGTCTTGACTCATTTTCCATCTACCACTCTGTGCCCTTCATTTTGGGACTTCTGAAGAGGTGGTAAGGATGAGATATTTTAGACACTGGAGGGAACATCTCCTGCCATGAGATTTTTAGAGGCACGTAGAAACCGTTCCTGTGTTCTGTGTTGTGCATCCCTTGGCCGCAAGAGCAGCTGAGGGTGTGAGCTGAGGTTCAAGCATTCCTCTGCTCAGACACTGTGCCCATGGCTCTTTACCTCGTCTTCCTCAAGGGTTTTGTAGGATTTCAAATGCACAGCTGTGGCTTCCTTCCTGTTTCAGCAACCAACTCTCTGTCTTCATTGTGCAAATTCTTCTAAAGCAACAGGAATTCAGATATCAAATGATACATTTGAATATATTTCTATGGACAAAAAGCAACAATGGGCTCCAGACAGCTTTGGCTATCAAATAGAGTTTACTAATTTGAAAAAATGGGGTGAGAGGGAGGGAGGAGGTGGGGGAAACTCATGTGTGATGATAGAATTGTTCTGTATCTTGACTGTGGTGGTGGATACGCAACCCTACACTTGATAAAATTGTATAGAATTACACACACAAATACAACTGAATATGGTAAAACTGGGGAAATCCGATTAATATTGGGGAATTGTATCAATGTTGGTACTGTGATTGCAATAGTGTACTATAGGTTTTCAAGATGGTACCATTGAGGGGAGCTGGGTAAGGGTGCAGAGGATATCCCTGTACCAGTTTTTAGAACTGAGTGTGAATCTACCATCCTCTCAGAAAAACCCTTTAAGTCTATTTGTGAATATAGAATAAAAACACGTTATTCTTATAGCAGAAAGTCTTTCAGGTATAGCTACATTTTAGCTACAAAGAAATTTTTTTAAAGATTTATTTATTTATGCATACAAGAACCCCGGTACAGGCCAGAGGTACAGGGGTGAGAAGATTCACCAGAGACAGTGGGGAATAGAACAGGCAGAATGAGTGAAATACACTGCTGAGGGGAGCAGCGGGTAAGACAGGAGAGGTCTGCTGTGCCATGTGGGTAAGCTCCCTGGCCGGGAATCGAACTTGTGCTGCAGTGGCTGCGGACAGCTTCATAGTTCTGTGCTTACCCCCTTGTGCCACCAGGGAGGCCCTGCTACAAAGAAATTTTAACTATAAAAAAATTTTATCTTTATAAAGAAATTTTACCTAAAGACAAAGAAAAATAGATCATCCAGCTTTTCTGCTTTTATAATCATTCAGTAACACTCATTGCTTTAAAATGATTGAGAATAAAATGTTTGACCAATGGGTAGTTTGGCTAAGGAAACTTAATGAGCTTGTATGAAATATAACTCACCAATTTCAAATGATTCACAGAAAATGAAATACATTTAACTCAGTCACCTCTAATCCACTATGGAAGGAGAGAAGGTAACAAAAAATTGGCATGATACAAGAATAACACATATATATTTTTAAATTTGGGTTAATTTTTTTTTTTTAGGATCTGGCAAAGTTAGAAATCTTATATCTCAATAATTACTATGATGACAAAAAATTTAAAACATATTCTGCATATTGAAAAACTTAACAATCACCAATAACCTGTATTAGAATGTATTTAATTTTCTGCAATTTTTGAGTTCCTAAAATTTGCTAATATCATGTTGAAGACATTTCTATAAGGTAATGCCAGTCCAATTTTTTTGTAACATTTCAGTTTTAAAATAAGTTCAAACATGATAAACACTAAAATTCATTTTTATGTTCAACAGATAGAGTGTCTAGTATGTAGTAGATGAATTTTCTCACACAATCTATCCTTTCATCAGGCATTTTACTTCATGCATAATAACTTGGTGTATTGGCCTAACAGCTGACCTAATGCTAGCAGAGAAGGAAAAGGAAACCTTGATGGTTAGAATTATGAATCTTTTTGAAACTTTCAGACAACTTTGTTCACCTCACTAAATGGCTAGGTGGAAGAGGTCTGCGGCACCAGCAGACATAATCATCTCCACCACGGGCACTGATGCTTTTAGAGCTCACCAGTGTACGATGACTTCATTGTCATCATGAGAATCTTTAAGAAATACATACTGCACGGCATTTTCTTAAATGCAACAACAGAAAGCCCTCTCTGATTTTGCAGTAATGCTCTACTACTGTGCTATAGCCCTCTCTCCCCCCCCACCCCAACCCTAATTTTGTTAAAAGTTCTAAGCTTTGGTGATTTTTTGCATGCCACCGGGATTCCTAGTTCATAATAAACTTTAAAGGTCTCAATGTTAAGGAAACCCATTCCAGTGGTAGGGAAAGTTTTTTTTAATTCATGTTACTGTATCAACTTTTACATTTTTGGCTTATTTATTACTTAATATCTTTGGGAAAATTATTTTTCCCTTTGTGTCTTCATTTTGCCTAATAGTGTAAATGAAGTTGGTGCCGGCTCTAATTCATGTGCTAAATAAAAATACTTCCATATGCTACTTAACACATATATGCACTTCTTTTCAGTTTGTCACTTCTAATGGTCTTTCAAAACCATTTAGTGAGACAACTAATCCGACAGTTTATTCATCTTTTTACTGCTGTTGGACTATCCTTTATTAATGAAGCCCTTTGGGCATCTCAGAAGATAGGGGGGCTATAGATCTGATTCTCCTGACTTCTGCTTCTAACATCCATTGACATAAACCATTTGCTCAAAAGGGTGTTAGCCATATGGTGTGTAATTAAGATAGTAGTATCAGGAACATTCACTAAAAAATATTGGGGCAACATTAGTTTTTAATACTGTATGTGATCAGAGATATAGGATCACACCTATTATTATCTATGTCTCCACACTCCTCCCACCACCAAGGTACACATCTTCTTCCAACATAGTAGACTGGCCCCCATTGACACTTTGCTCTCCCACTCAGATATCCTTAATTCCACAGACAGATTTCCAAGGTTTGTTATTGGTTTGGTTTTGACTGACCCTTTGTTTTGTTTCTACATATTCCACATTTAAGTGAAACCATCTGGTATTCCTCTTTCTGCTTCTGACTTATTTGGCTTAGCATTTTCCAAATTTTAAAATAATCCTCTTTTGTATGAATACTTTTATAATTTTAGCTTTGCATTGACAATAAAAACAGCTTATCACTGCAGAACTAACTCATGCTTTTAGCTACAGATTGCTCAACAAGGACCAGGGTGTACTACTTTTAAGATTTTTGACTCAGTACTCAGAACTATCAATAAGCAAATATGCTACTGCCTGTGAAAATGAGCCTACCATTTCTTAAAGATTTTCAAGCAAAGCTGAACTACTACTTGTCAGGGACATTGTAGAAAAGACACATATGTCAGATAATCTCACATTTATTTTCCAAATCTGTGACTGGATGCTTCTTTGAAAATCACTCAGACTAGTATAAACTTTACCTAACTCCTCTGATTAAAGTCCATGCGAATACAGCATTCCAAAATTTGCAAAAAAATTAGCAACTGTGTGTTCTGGATCTGAAACTATGTACAAGTCAAAATTACCTTGTTGGGACAGAACTTTCCTATTTGCTCTTTCAGATGACACAATCATTAACTTTTCCCTTAAAGCCAATATAATTCTCTTTAATACCCCTTTTGCTTCAGAAGACCAATGAAGATTAGCTATAGGCTAGGAAACACAGTATTTTGTTTGTGGGCTCCAGTAAAACCCTTTCTGCAAGCATCATTCATCTTACTCTCCCATTTGGAAGTAGCCTGGTTTCACTTACATGCCTCACATCTCATTTTCTGTGAGATTTCAGTTTCCAAACTTGACTGATGGTCAAAGGAATTACATAGCCATTTCTTGGATTTGGTCTAAATTTGGTGCTGTCTAGGCATTTCATGGCAGATCTATTACTTAAGGCTTCTCCCTCTGGAATGTTCTGGGGGTGTGTATTTCTTGGTCTTTGTTTTCCTCTTCTGTAAGCTTGATGCTATATTTTAAAAATTATTTGATATAGATAAAAATAAGCTGTTGTAAAGTTTGTGAGGACAAAGGTAAATATCAGTATTGGGATAAATTTTGTAGTTTTACATAAGAATTATTTCCCTTCCCCCCATCCCAAAGATATGCTGCAGATGCAAAAAAGTAGGATTAAGAATTGGAAGGAGTAAATCAGTTCACAGTGACATACTCTGCAGGTGGGTCATGATAAACGTTCCGTACACTCTTTATTAAAGCAACATTTGGAATACAGGATGGATCACATGTTTTCTTTTGCTTTTTGCTACAACATTAACTTAAAGATAGTCATGTTTACATCTTCAAATTTTAAAAAGTGAACAATTATAGTTCACAAAATCACCAGCCTGCCATTTGTACCCAGATACTTTATTTTCTGTAGTATTTTCCGATTTTAACAAAGGACATCCAGAGCTAGGGATACAGCGAACCAAACATAAGTACAAGCAGCTTCTTTGATCCTAACTCACTGTAAGCAGCTCTGTGGTGTCTGAGAGATACATTTGCAGTTTTTTATTACTGGTTAAATAAAAATAATTTATGCTGGAATATTCTTAGAACTATTTGCTTTCTATTTTTACATTCTCTATCATTAGCTCCTTTAAAATGACATGTCTGAAAAAGTTCTTACATATCATTATCACCATATGATATTTTCTTGTAGAACAGACAAACACTTGGTTTGTTGGAAAACATATTAAGTAATTCAGTCTTATTTTTTGCCCACTACTGATTTGCTTAATCCAAACCTGATTAATCACTGTAAAAAAACAAAAAAAAGTCATTAGGAAAGAGAAAGAAAGTGAACTTACTACCTACTGAAGGAGTTTTAAATGAATAGGTGAATGTAAAAATTATCTGGAAGATAATTGGTGCTTAAAATATGTGTGTAAATATACAAGAAATTAGGTAGATGTTTAAAGAGTACCAGCAAGTTAGTTCAAAAGCAAGAACAGAAACAGGGGTTATCATCTTTAGGGACTGCCAATGGGCATGTGGAGATAGATATAGGGTAGAAATTGAAAGGTGCAGAGTATGAAACAGTGTCTGGAAGGTGAGTTAAATGCTCCAAAGGAAACACTGTGAGGAAATCTGTGACAGAACCATAGGTGCTGTCATCTTAAGAGTTTTAGCACTGCCACAATACTGCATTTCAATTTGTGAAGAAAAGGTGTCTGACCTGCCTTTCTGATACAGTTCCTCCAGTGGCTGGGATGTGTGTTTCTGTAGTTCAGCTGATTTGTGCTGGCTACATTTTCTCTGTAATTAGAGAGCGACTTTTCAAAACATGCAAATATTCTGTGCCTTACATTCTCTTCATGTGCTACAGACCTGAGCAAATCCTAGCCCCCCAATAAATAACAAGCCAAACATTACATTTAAAACATATCAGTCCATTAGATAATTTACATAGTGTAGTTCTGTTCTGTCATTCTATCAAGTTACTTTATCTCACATTTGCCCTTCAAAGTGATGACTAAACAACACGAACATCTACAATTAAAAATGAAACAAATAATAAAAAATATATGTAAAGAAGGGGATTCCAGAACTCATGGTGTGGGATGTCAGGTCATTTCAGCTTAGTTTCGAGAAAAGGACATCTCATAAGCATCTGAGACATGTCATTCTGGATGAGAGGACACAGCACAACAATGGCTGGGATGGGTGAGAACATTCGGGTATTTCTAGAGCAAATTCTATACATTATATATCACATTTGGTTCCTAGATATTTTAGTCAAGTATTAGTATTTCTTTTTGCCAAGTATGATCTACAAAAAGATGAGAATAGATGTGCCCTAAAGATATGAAAATATAATATATAAAACAAAACTGTTATAAATTACATAGCTTTTTAGTATAAAATTGTTTTTTCCTTTTAGAATAAATACCATCCAAGTTTACAGATCATCTAAGTGACTTAAATATGTACACATGGATAACTAAATCATTTTCATAATTTCAAGAAAAACAATTTGCTAGAGGTATGACCAGATAACTCAGAAACCAGAAAGTGTTTCGATTTTGAGTGTGACTATATAAACCCCAAAGGACAAGGCTTGGGATTTAGTGTTAAGCTTTTAAAACTGTCCAAATGAGTCTGATGTGTGTGCATGCACACACACGTTCAGCCACATGCCTATGAATTTCTATGAAGCTGAATAGTTCACCTTTGAAAAATCAGCTGAAAGTCACAAGGTCTTTTGCATTTTCTATTCTAGCAGGAGAACCTCTCATAGTTAGTAAAGAAGCAGTAGGAGGGATAAGAAGAATATAGAATTTTGAAGGAGAACCCTATTTTAAGTCAACCTTTTGGGTTGGGTATTATAATATCAGGAGTTTTTTGATGCCTTCATTAGGGAAAACGTTTTGAAAATCTATATAATCCCTCCCCACTATAGTCTAAAGAAGTCAAAACCAATCCAGAAACACTCTTTGGTCACACATTTCTGCTTCTGCTTCTTAAAAAAAACCTGCCATCTTAAACTTTAATTCCTAATCCGTGTCTAGATAGATGTCTTCTCCTGTAGTTCTGTACATGGGTGCGAGTAGAAGAACTGAACAGAATGGGGAAAACTCCACACTATCACAAAATAAACTTACATCTCATTTGTTGCTTTAGATATATAAACCCATGGTAAGAATTTGTTGACCCCTGTGACAAGTGGAAAATGTTTACAATCTAAGAGTTGGAGATAAAACTTTTCTGCAACTCAAATACAGAAATCCTAATCCAGAGACCCAAATAGGAGTCACGGTTTCTCTTGATTGCTCACTATTAATTTCTTTATGTGGCCACCCAAGACACCTCTAACTAGATGCTGGCAGTTCATTCTTATACAAGCACAGCTCTATTGTGCTTCACAGATAATGGCATTTTTTTTTAAATGAAGGTTTGTGGCACCCCTTCCTCCAGCATCTATTGATGCCATCTTCCCAATATTATACCCTCACTCATGTCTGTCACATTTTTAAGCAATATTTTTAAGTTAAGGTCTTTAGTTTTTAGACATGATGCTACAGCACATTTAAAGCAGACCTCAATTATGAAAACATACTTTTTAATGCACCAGGAAACTGAATATTTCTGTGATCAGCTTTATTGTGAATTTTTCTTTTGAGTGGTAGTCTGGAACTGAATGAGGTGTGCCTGTACAAGAGATGACTAATCAAACTCCAGCTCTTATCAGGATGCTCTCCATCCCAGCTATCTAGAAACAAAGCCACCCCTAAAGTGAAGCCATAGCCCTCAGCAATGGAGTCATATGCATTGCTGTCAAGTTTGGACAGCTAAGCTTCTAATTTCATGTGCCCATGTTTGCTTCCAATATTGCTTATCTCATGCAATGGGGCCGTCATGGGAGATTACAAACTTTCCATAAAACTATACATACTGGATCTAGAAAGGATCTTGTGATCCACCAAGTAAAATTCTGATATTTTGCAGGTGAAAAAGATTCAACTTGGGTGGGAGTTGTTCAAGGTGACTTGTCCAGACAGTGACAGAGTGAGGACTAAATATCTAGGTCAGCTGTCTCATCAACGACATGGCCCAGGTAACCTCCCATGTGATGACCACCTCATGTGATATGGCCATGACCCTTGTAACTACTTCAGGCTACTGTCTCCCCTGCTCATAAGTACAAAGAAAACAATACACTCTCTCACCACAATGAAATCTAAAATGTAGAAATGATCCTAATGATGTACTGGGGGAGAAGAACCATAACTTAAAATGCTATGATTTTTCAAAATGAATCCTCTTTATTTGGGTCAGTGACATAGCATACACATGCCAGGTGAACCCAGAGGTGACAGTGAAAATCTTTAGAGTGACTGAGAAGAGCTGGGGTGATAATATAGGTTTGGTTTCATGAGAGAGTGAGACTCATCTAGTCTGCTCCCCATGACAGATAAGGAAACTGAGACCCAGATGTGCCCCAACCAGGCAGCTGGCTATTGGCACAGTAAGGTAAGGTGCTGGGCTTTGGACGACTAGTTTTATCTTCTTTCTATAACATTATTCTGCAGTGCATTAACTGCCTTTTTTTGTGGGACTAAACAATAATTCAGTGATTTTGGCATGGAATTTGGCAGTACAGCTCCCCTTGCCATTATTCTAACTTTTCATTCTCTCCTATGACTTACAAGTTGGCTATGCAGTATACAAAAGAGGACCTGGTTACGTGACTTCACAGATCTTCATATTTGCTGCCCCAAATCAAGTGCGTGAATCACTTGAAGGCTTATGGTCCCTGCAAACCCTCTGGGATAATAATATTCTACCTGTAAGAATTCATCAGATGCTTCTTTCTTTGGAAGCTATGGTTTTCCAGATAGAGCAACATTCTTTGGAGGGTGATGTTACTCAAACGTAAACAAGTTTTCATAGGGAAGGGCTTATTCAGCCTTTTACAATCTCCCTCCATACCTTGGCTGAGCTCACCAAAAGGTTCCCAGAATCAGACAGGTAAACACATTTTTATTTGGCTATTAAAGTGCTATTCCTGGGCAAAATTTTTCTCAATTTCACAATAGCAGCTTTATTGGAAACAACAAAAGCAGTGTAGGAAAGTAGGTTTGGGAAGTGAAAAAATAATGAGTCTATTAACTACTCTGGAACATCACAAATGACTTGTAGATGTCAGCCATGGTATGGGTGGCTGATACCAAAGCCTGAGAGGTAAATGTTCTAGGGGAAAATAAGGACAAAGTAGCAAAGAGGACTAAACCAGAAAGAGCAATTAGTATTAATTCAAACATACTCCATTGTAAAAGAACAGTGACAAGTAATAAAAAGTGAGAAGAAAGTGCAATAAACCCATGTACGTGCATTTGCTATTTCAGTGGACCTATAATTGTTAAAAGGAAAAGCAATGCAGTGTGCATTGGACAGGGCTCGTGGGCTCAGAATGTCTTACAGTGGTGTATTCTTTGCCAAAAGGGCATCACCAATTAAGGTATTTGGCAGAGAATAGCCTCTAAAATTCGTATCACCTGGACAGACACCTTCTGTCCTTTCTTATCGATTCTGCACCCTGCTGTTGCTGCCTCCTTCTCTACTGGGAACCTTCCAGTCACATACACTGCAGGCGGTGTTTCCCCTCTTAGGATGGCATCACTCCAGCCTAAGGGATGAGCGTCTCCTGGTAAGGCTTAGCGGCAAGTGCGGACTACATCGGTACTACAAGGAGCAGCCCCTGATTTTCTTGATATGCATAGCTTTTCGGAGTCGATATTAGACATGGCTTTCATAAGTAATGCAGGTGTTTTTGTCCGGGGCCACCGCCGGGTCTGGAGTTTCCAGGGGGGTGGGCGGCAGGTCTCTCGCTGACCCCTCCACCGGTGTGGGCTCTTCAGACGTCAGCTCGGTGGATGTCACGTCGGTGGAGGGCTCCCCAGAGTCGTGGGACTGCTCAGCAGAGGGTTCTGTGTCCTCTCCATCTTTGACTTCAGGTTGAACAGCCGCCTGGTCGTCCACGTTCTCCTTTTTGGCCTGGGGGTGAACGGACACCTTGATGGCAATCTGTTGCGGCTGTTCGTGCAGCGACGAGGTGTCGGAGTCAGCGGTGGGGGAGTCACTGCGCTGCAGGGAATTGGGGATGGTGTAAACCTCGTCCCGGTCGGTGGCCTCCTGGCCTTCCGGCGTGTGCCGCACAAAGTTCTGGCCCTGCTCCTCCAGCCCCACCACCTCCATGATCTCCTCCATGATGGTCCTACAGTTCATAATGAGGGGCGGCAGCGGCACGCTCCGGGCAAGCTCTTCGATATAGCGGGCAAACTCCATGGTTTTGAACTGAGTGACTTTGGCAAGCTCTAGAGTTTTGGCTGAGGTGATGATGGGGATGCGCTTGGCGATCTCAAAGGCCTTTTGCAGCTTCTCGGCGCCTTCTGTCCTAAAGAACTCGTTGATGGCTTTCTCAGTCTTCTTCAGGTGGCTGCTCATCATGCACAGGCGTGTGATGTTGAGGACCATGACCACGGTGAAGGCCACGAGGCAGACCACCATGTAGTAGACGCCCATGTCTCCCGAGGTGAAGATGACGCGCAGGGTCACCGTGTTGTTCACGCTGCCATAGGCGTTAGAAGCCACGCACGTGTATTTACCTCGGTCTGAGAAAGACACTGTGGTAATGTTCAGGAGGCCGCTGGCATGCATCTGCCATTTTCCTGTGGGACAGGAGAGGAGAGAATTCAAGCACTACACTACAAACTGGGCTGCTGCTGCTGCTGAGACTGAGAACACGTCCTCAGTGTGCTTGCTACATGCCAGTGACGCGCGTTAACTCAGTGAGTCTTCACTACCCTGAGGTGGGTAATAATACCTGCCCCATTTTACAGAGTGAGGAAACTGAGGCACAGATTAAACTACCTCCCCATGGTCACCAGTTCCAAGTAGCAGAGACAGAAGATGAGCTTAAGCTCGCGAGGTTGTATTTTCAGCCACCAAACCCTCTGGAATAATTGCACATCCCAGTGAATAACAGTCATCTGGAAACTACTGTGTTCTTACTAAAGAATTCCTTAACTGCAACATGACTTCCTAATCTGTCCTTGAGCATGACTCTGTGGTACCTGTGTTTCCAGGGAAGCTGATATAAGCTATTTTAGGATCAACACAAAATCTGTAGTAAATCAAATTATAATTGTTTACTTGGGCTTCTCATATTTGTGATTGAAGTTATGCTTGTATGCTCTGTTAATGAAAACATAATTTATGCACTAGTTTTGAGAATCTACAATGAACTACCCATACTGAAGTTACCAGCAAGCAACGTGAAGATTCTGAGGCTCAGTTTGAATAGATATCACTTTGCTTTAGCCTTGCAGATTAGTAGCAAAATGCACCAAGTAGGAAATAAGGATCACAGGATGGGAATGCATGCTGAGAAATTCAGCCCTTCCCTCCCTTTAGAACCTGGAGCATGGTGGGACTTAGCAGTGCCCTGGGAATGAGGTTCTGAAACTGGTAAATCTCTGGATTTCTTTTTTAAAGATTTATTTACACAAGAGCTGGGGTCCAGGCCAGAGGCGCAGGAGGGTGAGAGGATTCACCAGAGACAGAGCAGGGAGCAGAACAGGCAGACAGACCAAAGTACACTGCTGAGGGGAGCAGTGGGCGAGACAGGAGAGGTCTGCTGCACCATGTGAGTAGCTCCCTGGCTGGCTGGGAATTGAACCCAAGCTGCAGAGGCAGCGGACAGCTTCACAGTGCGGCGCTCAACCCGCGCTGCCACTGGGGAGGCCCCTGATTGGATTTTTTCATTTGCCTGTCTACTCACAGGTCAGAGGGTCCCTGGGAAACAGACCAGGTTTGACTTCCAGGTCTTGGATCCAAGCTCTTCTGAAATCCTACTACCTCCTAGACTTTTGAAGGGGAAGGAAGGTGCAGGCCTCCAGGGAGTGTAGGGATATTTTTCCATCAAAGCACTCCAGTTCCCTAAGCCAAGTAGAGAAACCTCTTCTGAGAGCTGGGGCAATGCAGCATGTCATTCGTTCCCTTTTAAGTAACTATTCTTGCATTGTTTTCCCTGCTGCCCCTTTCTGGCAGTGACTTAATTAAAATTAAAAGTCTGGTACTTCCCTGAGCAACAAGCACCATCTTAAAAAATCTGGGCACATAAGTGAACAGGATCTCAGTGGACAGTGGAATGAGGCAACAGATGGCCCTTCTTTATTCCAGAGTCCTCTGCTCCGAGGAAGGTTCCTAAGGAAACTAGATGGAGTAGTGAGGTGCCTTCTCAGGGCTGTAGTTCCTCCTTGCTGCCATGGCGAGTCTGGCAGGATGCCTCTTGTACGCTGTCACATTATTTGGCCTTCTGAAAGAACATCTGTGAAGAGAGGTTCCTGGTGTCCCTAAGTAACCTTTGTCTAACAATTCAGTCAGTGTCTTTTCCCAAAGAGCTGAAAACACTGGTTTGGAAAAAATCTAGTGAGTTTTCAGTCTCTTGTGAATGTGTATGAATGGACAAGCCTACCACAGGTGTGTGAAATGTTCTCTTATTCAAATGGGATAGGGGCAAGCCTTCCACCCCTTTTACCTCCTGGACATGAATTTTGATACTTCAGCTGCAGATTTATTTGAAGACATAATGATGTGAGGCAAGGGAAATTATCAATTTACTTTTTTTAAAATTTAGGTGCTGCATAAAAGTGGACTATAGCAGGCAAAGGGAAAAAAATTCTAGTTGAAAGCATATCTATCTATCTATATCTATCTATCTATCTATAGTACTAGGTTTTTTTTTTTTTAAAGATTTATTTTATTTATTTAGACAAGCACTGGGTACAGTCAGAAGCGCGGGAGGGTGAGAGAATTCACCAGAGCCAGAGCGGGGAGCAAAACAGGCAGAAGGACCGAAGTACACTGCTGAGGGGAGCAGTGGGCGGCAGGAGAGGTCTGCGTGCCATGTGGGGACCCTCGCCCAGCGGCTGGGGATTAAACCGGTGCTGCAGAGGCTGCGGGCAGCTTCGCAACCCAGCGCTCAACCGCTGTGCCACCAGGGAGGCCCGGTACTAGGTTCTTAAGACTTATAGTCTGTGATTATATTTACCCTCCTTCTTATCTTGGAAAATATAGCAGGAAATAGAATGGAAGAGGGTGAGAAAGTGAGCTTATCTGTCTGAGAAATGGTTAGGATCAATTTGTTCACCTCCTAATCCCCCACTGCCACTCCTTTTGTGAGGAATTATCTATAAATACAGGACAGAGTAGTCTGAACCTGGGTATAAAGAAAAGGAGAACTAAACTAAGAAGGCAGGCATCCGATGATATAAACAGCTTTCTCCTCACTCCTATAATAGTTAGAGAAATATGAAATACCTTTACAACATATCAATGCTTTATTGACTATTTAAAAATGTTTCTGAACTTGAATATTACGGTTATTTTCAGGAATACCTGAAATTTTCTGTTGAGATATACAGATATCCTGGACCCAAACAATTCAATTCAGATAACTTAAGACATTTCAGAGTAAGACCCTATACTGTCAAAAGGGGCAGAGTCTGGAATCAGACACCATCTAATCAGGTGACATTTGTGGTTCGCTTGGGGGATACATGTAACGTGTGCTGCAGATAAATGAGAACTTAGGAGCATGTTGTGCTTCTTAGCCCAGGGCAGTGGTTCCTCAGACTAACATTGTTTTGTATACTTTACCCAATAATTACCTAGTGTGTTCTTTTAACTGAAGAAGTCTGAAGCTCACCAAGTATCTGCAAAGTGACTATGTTTGCTTAACTACAAACATGACAAATAGGAATCTGTAGATGATGATCCTAAAGCAGATGAGTTTTCACTTATAACATGAGCTGCAATATCCAAGTTAAATGACTAAGGCCACATCTCAGTTGTCAGCAATTTCCTGTTTCTGGTCTATGACCAGGACAGCAAGACATCTTTTTTCCCCAGTCCTTTCCTAGATTCTTCTTGAAACAAACATCATATTTATTTTATGCATTAAGGTAAGATTAATGGCATTTGGGTTTTTTCTCTGGTATGATGTAAGATATGACCTGGATTAAACATTCTACTACAAAATCATAAAGCAAGTCTTTGGAAGCTAAGCTAAGCTAACACACACACACACAAACACACATAGAGAATGTCAGAAGAGCTAAGATTCAAATGGCAAGGGTGATTGTACATCCATATCTCTTGTTTTTAAAAGGATGATATATATATTCATTCCTCCCCAGGAATCAAGCTTTTATTTCCTCTCAGTCTCAGCTTGACCTTTGATCAGGGAAAAATAAAATTTAGTGCATGTTCTACCACAACATGCAGACTTGAAAAACCATAAAGATGGCACAGATTCTACTTCAGAATTGGTCCTTCCCCATCTGCGTAAGGCCCAAGCTCGTGAGTATTCTCCATACGGTACCTGCTGCCCAACTGGGACCAACCTGAGAACATTTTCTGAGCTGCATGTCACCATTCACCCGTCTATAAATACCTTGCCCCTAGACTCATTTGGTAGGGTCCCCACTTTAGCTGTCAGAAAGTTAAAGGAACAAAAATATTGTATTAAAGGTATATAAAAATACCTTCAAAGACCATCACAGGAAACCTCCAGTGTCACACATGAAGCGGAGACACACACTTCTGCTCCCATGTATTTTGTACCAGGAGTGGGAATGTCAGAATTATGTGTTGAATTTTCATTAAGCTGCTTTAGTTCAGCACAAATAAAAATCTAAAATGTCAGCAGCTGGTGCCAAGTCAATTCAACATGCAGTGATTTGGGAACGAAAAAAGGCAGATAATTAACCATTACTTTCTGAATATAAGAGGAAAGATGACGTGTAAAACAGTCCCTCACACTCTTGATGACCATTCGCTTATTCATATCCTATGCCTTGCTAAGACTGCATCCTCTCCCCTAGTGTCCCCCCAACCTTGGAATGTCCTTCTCCACCTCCTCTTCCCTCCTTGGCCCTATAAGGTGGAAACACACCTGAAGGCTTTGGGCTTAAATACTGACAACTGTAGGCTCCACTTTGTTATAGTCCTGAGATCTGTCATCCTTCCCCAAGAAACTTCAGCCCAAGAATCACACCTGTTATGAGCCAGTTACCCCACTTCTGGATATTTACCCCCCAAATATGATAAAACACTAACTCAAGAGCTGTATGTGCCCCCATGTTCACTATAGCATTATTTACAATAGCCAAGAGCTAGAAACAACCTAAGTACCCACTGACAGTGGACTTGGTAAAGATAGGATGAACACAATGGAATACGACTTAGTTATTTAAAAAAGATGAAATTTTGCCATTTGCAACAAAGATGAATCTAGGGGACATTATGCTTAGTGAAATAAGTGAGATGGAGAAAGACAAACACGGTATGATATCACTCAAAGCAAACAGATGAACTAAATAAAAGAAAACAAAACAAAACAAAAAACGCTTTTAGACCAATTACTGACTACCAAAGGGAAGGGGTAGGGTCTTGGGTAGGCTGGGTAAAAGGGGTCAATTATACGGTGAAGAGTAATTGGACTTTCAGTGGTGAGCTTAATGTAGTATATACACACAATGAGCTTTTAATGATGCACACCAGAAACATAGTTATAAAAAAATGTTACTTCAATTTAAAAAATGAAAAAAAATTCTAATGTGAACAGCTTCCAAGTAAGTATTAGAATAACATGGTGGTTGACAAT